GGGGGGGGGGGACGTGTGGTAAGGTAGGGGTCATTTTCCCGCTCCCTCTCCCAGCGGCTCAGGAGCAGCTGTTTTATCTGTGTCGCCCTCTCCACTTTCCCTCTCCCACTCCCCTCCACCCCCTCTCCCCCTCCCCTGCCCCCGAGGAACTCCCCCACCAGTCGTCGCCGCAAGTTAGGGCAGATTAGCGGAGGCGGGGGAGGGGACGGCGGAGCGTCCAACATGGTGACCACCGAGGGGAGGGAGGTGGGAGTAGCAGTGTAGTGACGAACAAGGGAGGAGGAAGTAAAATCGTTCCTCCCTCCCCCGAAGATACTGGCCTGGATCCGCTTATGGCAAGGATAGGCGTGGGGGCGAGAAGATAGGTAGGAAGGACGGGAAAGGGAGGGGGAGGGGGTGCTGAAGGAATGAGGATAAGGGTGGGAAAAAGCGGAGACAGGGAATTAGGAACGAGCTAGGAGCGTTGGGGAAGTGGAAAACAATAAAAATAGGTGGGGCTGCGAGGCCCAAGATGGGTCCCACCGCCAGAACACACACATTGAACCAGCGGAGTTCCAACGGGCCGCGCCATTTGGAAGGGGAGCTGCTGCCCGGCCCGTTGGATAAAGTCGATAATGATCCCACGCCGCGGAATTCTATTTTAACGGCGGGTGGCGGTGCTGTAACATACGGTCCGCTTATTGACCCTCCTTTTTAAAAAAGAATCCCAAATTTTTTTTGTTTTTCAATTTATTTTGGAAGGTGACGAAGTCAACCAAGTAATGTGAAGAAAAACGGCTGCATTAGTGGAACGAAGACTAGGGTCACTGATAATTAACGAGGAGGGATGAAGGTGAGATTTTGTGATGCCCTGACCCCAGCGGTTTGAATTTTTACGATCTATCGACACAAATAGGGAGTAGGAATAAAGGGATTTCATAATACAATGAGGAAATGGGGATGTAATTCCTATTTACACTATCTCAAATGCTGAAGGGGGTTGCTGCTGTTCAAGATAAAGTCGAAAATTTGATGGGCGATTAAATGCACACAGTTACAGCTTTGCATTTCCCATATTCATCATTTCAAATCACCGAACTACCTTCCTCCATTTCCTCTTTGCCGACCATAATTTTCTAGCTCTTCTGCATGATACTGGCACTCAGTGTGCAGCGCTCCGAACAACCTCACTGCCAGCCACAATTCCAAAGTCACTCCGAATGCTATCATAATTTGTCAGCAAGAAACACAGAAAAATGAAGACCGAAAAGTGTTGCAAGGAGCAATGTCCACTCGGTTCTCCAGATCCTCGTCGCACTCCGGCACATCACTTCCTCGAGCTCTTACTATCGAACTTTTATTGACTTTGCGTGTCATGTACGGATAATCGCCCACGCCATCCCAGCAACTGCGAGAGCAAGCTGACCATGGTTCATAAGTGTAAATACATGGCAGCATTTGACCTTCCGTCTTTTTCTGCACCTGCAACACTACCAGTGAGTACGGCATGGAAACGACCTTAGCTGCACGGTGCAGCAGTAGCAGCTACCCGATCTTCAACTTTGAACGCACTGAAAAGTAACAGGTTAATTTGAGTCCTGAGGATACTGGCG